AATGAAGTTGTAAATGATAAGATACAGGTAAATAATCATGTACTACTTAAGAAAGAAAAATTTATTTATTATATTAAAAAAAATTATTATTATTTTATAATTATTATCTTAAGTAGTACATGATTATTTACCTGTATCTTATCATTTACAACTTAAGAAGTTGTAAATGATAAGATACAGGTAAATAATCATGTACTACTTAAGAAAGAAAAATCGGGAAATCGTGATTTGAGCGAAATTCTGAATATCAACCCAAAAAACAAAAAATAATAACAAATGTTGGTACACAAATGCAACTTCATTAAACAAAAAATAAAAAGAACTAATAGTTGAAGTAGAAATAAATAGTCCAGATAGTATGTTAATTTGTGAAACATAGTGGAACAATTGCTCTCCAAAATGCACTCAAGGGTATTTGTTGTTTGAACAAGACTGAATTTAAGGCAATGGTGGTGGTGTTTGAATATATGCCAAAGACTTAATAAAATCTTTCGAAGTTTCAAATGGTGAGTTACAAAGCCATCAAATCAAACAAATATGGTATATTAATAAATATGGTATAAACAAATATGGTATATCATAGAGTTTGGAAATGAGTCAATACTATGTGGTTGCATGCACTGTCCTGGAATAAGTGACATTCAAAGTTGTATGAAAATTAAAACTTAATCAAAGTCACACATGAAATGATTTTAAATAAAATTTATAGTGGCATTCTTTTAAATGGGCATTTTAACTTAGCAAAGATTGATTAAAGTGTGCATTGACGACCTGGAAGAACCAAATGAAATAGCTAGTATGACCATGGGCTGCTTAGACGAATGTTATTTATTTCAAAAATATAAATAAGCCAACATTTCAATTAGATGATAAAATTGAAACTAATATCTTAGATTTAGTAATAACCAAAAATAACTTGCGAATATGTAAGCTAGAACTTCATGCATCATTAGGATCGATTAAACACGGTCATCACATTTTAACATACAGTTACAACTACAGTTCTTCAGAAGAGATTGCAAAGAAATTTTTTCAAATAAAAAAACATTTATAATATAGGAAACTATGATGAAATTAACAAAAACTGTTTGGTAGTATTAACTGGTCAAAGATATTCGAAAATTTTAACGCCAACGAGTTTTACGAAAAATGGTTAGAACATTATAAAGATATTTGTAATTTACATATACCATTAATTAAATTAAATAAAAGGAAAAAAACACATTGGTTTAATAAATGCCTGTAAGTATAAAATGACATAGATTGAAGCAAAATAGTTTTATGGATAAAGTGTAGAAATCCAGAGATCAAGAACTTGAGGTGAAATATAAATATATCAAAAACACAATGAAAAAGGCTATTAAAAATGCAACTTGTTAAATATCAGCACGAAATTGCAAAAAACCTTATGAAGAATCCTAAAATAGCTTACCAATATAAACAATAATGTAAATAATAAAATTCAAATTAAAGATTATATTCGAGTTACTACCAACTTATCTGAGATCGCTAACAAACAAAACAATTTTTTTAGTACAATTTTTACTATTAAGATGAAAACCTGCCATAGTTTCCAAAACAATGCGATAAATTATGCCCAAATCTGACGTTCAATATTAAAACAGTTAGTAAGAAGCTTGCACTTCTGAATGTTTATAAATCCACTTGAGTATCACAATACACCCTAGAGTACTAAAAATTTTGTTGTAAAAGTATTTCAAAACCACTATCAATTATTTTTGATTGCTTATTCTTGAGTGGCATTGTTCCAGGTTTATGGTTATGTGCAAATATTACCCCTCTGTTTAAAAAAGGAGATAAATTGAAAGTAACAAATTTTAGGCTGCTATTACTCACATAGATAGTGTGCGAAGTGATGTAAAGCATAATAAGAGACACACTAATGAATTATTTGATTAAGAACAGTTTACTCTCAGACTCTCAACATGATTTTGTATCATCCAAAAGTTGTTGCACAAATTTACTCGAAACATTAGACAAAAAAAACCAAAGCAATTTAAATTAATTATTTTGAAAATAGTGCAATTTTGTAATCTCCGACCTCTATGTATATACTTATGTATATATGCATATATTTCCTATACAAAGAACCCTAATTTTTCTAAAAATGTATCAGTGACGGGTGTTTTGTTTTTTATAGGTAATCATACAAGTATTCTTAAAGATTACTACAAAGTTATATCACTCTACGATGTATCTTTGCCCCACAATAGTAGTTTAAACCAAAATCACGTACAGACAAAAAAAAAAGTAACAAACGAAGCATGCAAACATTTGCAATTAATACACGTTTAATCAAAAAACGATTTTTTAATGTATTATATTTAAGACATAGTATCTTAAATATAATACATTAAAATGTATTATATAGTTAATATTTTATATTAAAGATAAGGAAGATATAATATAAAATTTTTAACAATAAGTTTAGTTGTTACACTTCGGTTCGATAATAATGTGTCCACGGTTATCAAAGTATGATTACATTACTAACGGTTTTAACTCACACAAGTCATGCCAGTAGAAGTCGTCGACAAATGAATATATAAAAGTGTGTTCGTTTTGATCTTTTAAAAATTGAATATGTACCATAATATTTACAATTTCAAATACATCGGCAAGTCTTTGCTCAATCAGCGGAACGCAATTCTACAAAGACAAATATACCTGGGGAAATAGTATTAATTTTGTACCTTTCAGATGGAGATGATACCGCATTTACCAATAATGAAGATGATGGTTTCTTAACAATTTTTAGCATTTTTGATTGGTTACCAAATTGCCGTAAAAGCACTATCAATATTAAAAAAAAAAAGATTTGTGGCAACGGATACCGTTGACTTTAAATTTATCTTTGAGAAGCGTCTCATCAATCTCACTTTGGTTTGCGGTAATACACTCATTTTTAATCAAGATGAAATAAAAAAATAAAATTTTAACAACCAAAAGTTTCATATCCACAACTTTCATTTTTATATTTTTTCTCTAAATAATTACTTACATTAATTTTGGTATTTTTTTCACTTGAAATGATCACAAAATCTTCCAAACTTCGACAATATTGTTTTCCAGATTTTACTGGTGTCCGAACCATTCTTTTTATTTTCCCACCCATGTCATCAACTGCGCTCTTTTTCCGTGTGATGTTGCAAAAAATGACCAACGAACCTCTACAAGAGCAGATGAAAATTTGTACAAATTATTCATGGCTGTCATGACATATGAATTTTTTTTTGAATTGTGATGAAGGGCCATCTGTCAAAAAGTGCAATTTACAAATATTTTGAGAACGACTTAATAATTGTTTGATGATGACTAAGGCAGCATTTTTATCATGAAGAACGATCGGATACAATGGCATAGCTTTGAATATTACTCTTACTCCAGATTGCAGCAGTGATTACTCTTAGTTGCAGCAGTGATTACTCTTAGTTGCAGCAGTGATTACTCTTAGTTGCAGCAGTGATTACTCTTAGTTGCAGCAGTGATTACTCTTAGTTGCAGCAGTGATTACTCTTAGTTGCAGCAGTGATTACTCTTAGTTGCAGCAGTGATTACTCTTAGTTGCAGCAGTGATTACTCTTAGTTGCAGCAGTGATTACTCTTAGTTGCAGCAGTGATTACTCTTAGTTGCTAATGAACCCAGTAAGCGGATTGAATTTAAATTTGCTACATTATGCTGTAATTTTCACTAAAATCTATCTGATTTTAGAAGAATTAAAATTTTAAATGGATGAATAGTTAGTTTATAAATATACCAAAAAGATTATTACAAAATTATTAAATTTTGTTATCGTACTACAAATGAAATTACAATTTTAATTACTTGTATAATCAAATTCATTTTCAGATTTGAAATATATGCACTTTATCGTCGCTTTATATACACATGACATGTATAATCTGGCAATAGCTGACGCAGCAACACGCACCCCTCTAACCCCTTAAACACCCCTCTAACAAAGATGTTAGTGGTTGTTTAATTTTCTGCGCATTTTCTGATGATCATTGGTTGAAAACAAAGAGGATCATTGGTTGAAAACAAAGAGGATCATTTGTTGAAAACAAGGAGCGGTTTGTATGAATCATCACCAAATGAGTCTATAGAAACATATTCGTCAAACTTTGCCAACCCACAGTTCGCTTTACATTCTATAAACAAGCATGATTGATTGTTTTGATTAAACACAGATCTGTCATCTATGTCTGACAAATTATTAAATTTTTTTTGAAGGGCATTTGTTAACAACCTGAAATTTTCATGGTATATGCAAAGGCAAACATCGTAGGGAAGATCGTTTACCAGCTTGATTTTGAATTGACTATGTTTCTCCCATGGTCATCAGGGTGAGACAAATTTGATATTTGTCTCATGTTAATGATATTTTCTCGCAAATAAAAATTATAAACTTTGCAATTAACTTCATCCAAACCAGTGCACTATGCGTTGTTCTAATACAAAATTAGGAAATAGGCTTATAAATTAGGAAGCATTTAACATATTGAGCTGATTTTTTTTTTACAAAATATGAATTTTTGTTTATATTTTTATATTTAAAAGAAAAATATCCGGTTTTTATAAAAAACAGTTTCATGTATTTTTTTTTGTTTAATCCGGACTAATTTCTGACTAATCCGGAAAATTAAATATATACTGGATATTTTTATTTAAAAAATATAGGCGCCGATATTTTATAAAGTTTTACTAACTATATTAATAATATTTAATAACATGATTTAATAATAAACAATAACATTAAATATATATTCATTAGAACTATAAACAAATCTACTATTATCTGATTATTTGTTCTTTAGTTTCTTACAAAGTTTCTCAACGTTCTAATAGATGTTTTTAATAACTTGTGGCTATGAAAATAGCCGATTTTTTAAAAATTTAACGCAGAACAGCTTATCAGTACAACATTATAATTCATTATATATAGATCTTTCTAGATTAGTAAATTACTAGTTAAAATTTAAGTTAGACATGCATGACTAACTTGTGCAATTTTGCTTTCTTTGTTTCTTTCTTCTTGGAAACTTAAAATACCTAATAAAAGAAGCACCATGATTTATACGTACTGATTGTCTTATAGGTATGGTTTTTTTTAAAATGTTATCAGTAATGATTGCAAATATATATTCAGATTTCTGATTTAAAATCTAAATCCGGTCTTGTAGACGTGCTGTTCAAATAAATAAGTAAGTCTCAAAACAACATATTTATTCTGATTTAGGAGCTCTTTGTGGTACACTATAAGTAATAAAAAAATGTGTGTGTGTGTGTGTGTGTCGGTATATAAGGGAAATGCACTAAGTCTATTTTTGGAAATATGGAGTTAATTATATTACTATTTAGTATTTTAAGTTCTCTATCGTTTGATATACCACACAAATTTAATAAATTAATTATTAATGAGTTATTAGAATTTTTTATTTCATTTATTACACAAAAATTTATTATTTTAACTATTATGCCAAAAATGGAGTGCATTTCCCTTGTATACTGACAATATATATATATATATATATATATATATATATATATATATATATATATATATATATATATATATATATATATATATATATATATATATATATATATATATATATATATATATATATATATATATATATATATATATATATATATATATATATACATTGCTGCTCCTCCTCATATGTCCTAATCTATATTTCAGGATCCTTTTCTAATCTTTTATATATTAGTTGTTATTATTAAAAAAATATATGAATTGTATTTATTCAGCATTATATATATATATATATATATATATATATATATATATATATATATATATATATATATATATATATATATATATATATATATATATATATATATATATATAGATTTCAATGCTTGAAAGAGTTCAACGTGCCACAAAAATACCATATTCAAACCGAATGCTAAGTTATGAGAAACGGCTAGTTAAAATGGATTTAATTAATTTAAATCTCAGAAGAAAACGAGGAGACCTTATTCATTTATATAAAATACTAAACAATCTAGATTATCTTAATGTCAAACCAGTCTATAAGTCAAGCGTTAAATTAGATGGCCCATGTTCTTCCATTAGAGGTCTCAAACATAAAATTAGAATGCAGTGTTTTACTCCTCGCAAAATAAATGACTTTCATGCATTGGTTAGCTCCAGAATCCATTTTTTCACAAACTGAGCTTGCCAAATTTGGAACAAACTTCCGGAAAAAGTTGTAGATTCCGAGAATTTAAATAGTTTTAAAGCAAGTTTAGACGAATGGCTTAAGAAAAATAAGAAAATATTAATTTAAAAGAAAAAGAAAAAAAAAAGGTACTGGGCTGCTATAGGTGAACGTTACAACGTCTCAGCTTGTGGATAAGATCCACGCAGTTTACCACTAACCAACTATATATATATATATATATATATATATATATATATATATATATATATATATATATATATATATATATATATATATATATATATATATATATATATATATATATGTCAAAAAATCATAAGTATTGCAATTATATTAGTGAATGATTGACTTATATCACATAATGTAATGGTGAGCACTTGTAAAATGTGGTCATTCGGAGATTTTTTGGAGATTCATAGTGTAAGAAATATCTCAATACTTAAACTCCTGCCCAAGTGCCGTATCAAGGGGGGGGGGGCTATAACCCCGGGCCTCGCAAATTAAGGGACTCCCAAAAATTTTAGAGGACCTTCTTTTTTACTTTATTTTTATTTTTTATTAGTCATTTTTAGGCTCTGGCCATAAAAAGGCCTCCAAAAACAAAAACAGCTCCGGGCCCCAAGAAGTCTTAATCCGGAAACTTTACCCGTTGAAAGTTTCCGCACATTAACAATACCTTGTTAATAATTTGAGCGAACCTGGAAAACTGATCCTCCGTTTTAAAATATTTTTCCGTTAAAAAAAAAAGTTTGCGCAACCTCACAACATCCTACTTCACACCTTATAAAGTTGGATTATTTATGAATTAATTTGACTTTTTTAAAATAAAAACTTGCTTATGTTTAAGGTGCCAGTCAAGATTATTATTTAAGATATAATTACATAGTTTAATATTTATCAAATTTGTTTAACAAATAGTCCAAAAAAATTACCATTTCTTAGTTACATTATAGTTGTAAAATTATTAATATTGATATTTATATACATGCATATTAATTTTTTACAATAATAACTTTTTTAAAAATTAAAAAAAATTAGATCATCTTGGGGCCCCAACAACTCTGAGCCCTCCCGCAGCTGCAAGCTGCGGGAGAGCTCAGAGTTGTTGGGGGCCCATTTGTCTGCGGGTCCATCGCTACGCTGCATACATAGATACATACATGCATACATACATACATACACACATACATACATACATACATACATACATACATACATACATACATACATACATACATACATACATACATACATACATACATACATACATACATACATACATACATACATACATACATACATACATACATACATACATACATACATACATACATACATACATACATACATACATACATACATACATACATACATACATGAAACCTATAACAAAAATCCTAATGTAAACTAAATAAAAATTATATTACAACTTAATTTAAAATATAACAATATTTAATAATCCTATAATTCGTTCTAAGAATAGATAACAATGAAAACAACAATATATTTACCAATAATATATATTTCTATATTATTATTATTAATTATTATTATTATTATTCAGTGATCAAAAAAAAAAAAAAAAAAAAATACAATATATCTGTTTAAAGTTTGATGAAGAGGTGTCACACCCTCTATGCTGACGAAAATAAAAAACACAGAAGCTACAGACAAAGCAGCAATTGTGCCTCTAAAAGTTACTTTGTTATAATGTTTATGAAAGCATGGATAGATGGAGCGTTCACTACTGCTTGGAAAAGCGCATTTCATGGGACAACAACTCTATTTGAAAAAAAGTTTTGTCGTTCTTCACAATTTCGTACAAGCTGGCGTTCTCGTTTTTGATTATGCCCTCTAAAAATATATTTGGCTTTACTGTTTAAAAGTTTTTGTGGAACGAAAAAACTGACAAGTTCGAGTTGACGCGTTTAAAATTATTCGATTAGGTCTGCTTTTTTACGGTGTTCTTCAAGTGTAGCTAGCCCGAACTGTTGGAGTCGATTTTTATAGAACAGGTGTTTAATAGATGATATTGTTTTTGTTGCTCGATGTTGGACTTGTTTGAGGATAGCAATGTCGGGCTTGAACAGCAAACTCGAGGTGGGTGCGAATGTAAATAAGATACATTGTGCGCCATAAATAAAAACTGCAACTTTGAAATTTTTTTTTGAGTCGCCCTAGCATTCTATTCGCAATTGATGCAGCTGCCTCTACTTGTGGTTTCACTTTAAGGTCTTTGGAGACCATTACACCAAGGTTCGACTACAGTCTTTTCAAGTGGATAACGCTTGCCGTCAACGTTGGTCATTGAGTAATTGTGCGTCGACTTGTTACAATTGCGGCCAACATGCATTACTTTGCAATTCTCAATATTGAAATGCATAAGCCAAATATGTGATCATTCCACTGCTCTGTCAATGTCGGCTTAGAGAGTGATACTATCTAACTCGTTTTTAATTGTGCCAATAATTTTACTGTCGTCAGCATACAGTTTCATATGATGACTAAATCTGTCCGGAAGGTCATTAATGAAGATTACGAAGAGCAATGGGCCCAAAACCAAGCCTTGAGGCACATCATTAATGACCGTTTGTCATTTAGATGTAATGCCGTTGATGACCACTTGTTGTCTTCGGTCATGTAACCAAGCTGAGATCCAGTCTAAAAGCGTGTCATGAATACCGTAGACTCTTAGTTTATGAAGAAGGCGTTTGTGCGGCACTTTGTCAAACGCCTTTGCAAAGTCTGTGTATATGGCGTCTACTGTATGGCTGCGATGAATGGCTTTTGTCATGATACCCCGAGTTTCTAGCAGGTTTGAGACGCAACCCTTGTAATAAACAAAGCCATGTTGCTTTAGAGTAATTAAGTCATTAGCAACACAGTGTTATCCATTATACTTGTTTTAAGAATACTTTCTATTATTTTGCATGAAATGGATGTAAGCAAGATAGGCCAGTAGTTTGATTCATTTATTTTACTCCCATAGATAAGTGAAAGTGGTTTGGCGAAGCTAATTGCATGTTTACTAAGGACTCGTGGATGTAAAACATCGTAGCCGGTTGATTTTCTTTCCTCAAGGTGGTTGAACAAGCCTGGAAAATTTTACCATTTTAGTAATGTTTTTGCATGCGGTGCGATGTGATTCTTTGAGTAATTGGTGCGCATCACGATCTGCATTAATAAATTTGGCTTATGAGGTGCGTTTAGCTTTGACCGCCTTAATTAGATCTGGTGTTATCCATTGCTCCTGTATTTCAGTGAAGGAAGTAGTTGTTAATGGGATGTATAGATTGATAGCTTCATTATACACGTTTACTAGGAGCGTTTGCATTTAGTGAACTCTGTTTCCCAATCAAAAGCTGCAACGTGCGAGGATATTGCTGCGTAGTTTGCTCGGGTCTAAATAATTCGAGTTCGTAATGGCAAAAAAGGCAAGTTGTCAGGACGTACAACAGCGAGTTGACCTTTAATGAAGCAGTGTACCTGGCCCATTGTAGTGTTACCAAGAGAATCACCTTGTTCGATGAAGATGGTACGGTCTGGTTCGTTTGTTATGATCAGATCAAGTGTTCTATAAAATATCTGTGTTTAAGTAAAAATCTAAAGATAGTTATTTTTAAATTTTTAGAGCTGTCTCAATAATTTATTGAGACTCAGCTCCTTATACATTGAATGGCTTAAACTTTACTAAATTTTTACCAAAGGTTTTAAAACAAACAGCACGTAAATTGTTGACCGCCATTTAGTAAAACTTAACTGCACCAGAATAGGTTTAAAATCAAAAAACGCCGGTATTTGATTAGCAAAATAGAGCAATTTTATTTAAAATGGCGGATATTTTGTAATAAAAAACTATACTTTTTATTTTTTGATTTTCATA